TCGAACCCTCGCCCTCGAAGCGGTACAACTTTTCTGGTAAACAGCCCTCCGGGCTCTTGCCCGTTCGTGTCCGACTAATGCCGAAGGCATCCCCGTCGACTGTTCTCGTTACCACTCTCGATGCATAAATTGGAAGAGGTGCGGGCAAAGAAAAGCAGCCGAGAAGATAGGGACAAACCAGCCAGCCTTTTCTGGCCAGACATTCATTAGGTAACTTGTAGAGACGCGACCCCGCCGCGGTGTACTCTTTCCAGATACCCTCGACCCTACGCTTATGAAGTAATTTCACTTTCTCCGAGCGCGAAAGTTCTGCAGCTGATAATAAACTTATGTCAAAGTCTTTGGTCGTCGCCGTCGTTCAGACAGCGAACATCGGCGAGGAATCGTCCGTCGACCGGCGAGATGTAACGAGTGCTGATTTTGATCATGATACATCAGTGAGGGAGAACTACCATAAAGGGGACATACATTGAATGGGGCATTACTATCATCTCAAAAATTATCAATCTTTTTATAATAAAATTACACTTGTTTTGTAACATATTATACATATCTAATGAAATTACACTTGTTTTGTAACTATATTACATATATCTAATCACACGTAATTTGAATCCGTATATATATTGGAAGGATTATATTTCTTGTCATGAAATACTAAAATATGATATTAACCAAAAATGCAAAGAAAGATTTATGTAATTTAAGATATTATATGTACTTACAATCAATATGAAAACAGTACTTATAATATCAATACCAAGATCACTTTATTTTGTTATTCTGTTCCATTAATGAATATGCCTGTCCCATTCGACAATTCATGAATCGAACAAAATGCAGTTGCTAACAAAATTGAAAACAAAACAGACTCATTGGCACTGTGCATTCTTATAGTAAAAAAGAGTAATTCTTTCGAATATTTCAAAGTATAATTAGATAGGTTGTTTAGCTTTTTTGATATATCATCCTAAGCAAAAGTTTCTCCCCTATCTGTTACAGATATCTTCGATTGCCATTTAAGAGGAAAACCTCTTCGTTTCGGAGAAGAATGACGATTTTGTTTTAGAATCTCGTGGATATATTAAGTCTTTGGAAATGTCTATGTAAAATCTAACGTTTGATTTCGTAATACTTTCGAACTAATTGAATAGTGAAACACACATTACTATCCGTGGCATTGTTCATTGCTCACTATTATATTTAGACGCAGATAGCACACAGCGTATTAAAGACGTACATTTTACGATCATTTTACGTTCGAACGTCTTACGATCTAAAACGTTAAACCGTCGTCCTGAACCAGATATCGTTTCAACGTCTAAGATTTACGCGTTCGACGGTGGTATCTAAATGATCCGGATCACACTCCGTCGGGTACTATACTCATTTTCTCTTTTCTAATTACTTCATTTATCTGTTTCCATTTATGCAATCGTCGCAGCGATATTTCCGAAACATTCTAAATGTATTTCAAAAATATTTTATTAATTCATTTCCGTCTTCGAGACGTTGCCTAGAGCTTTCCATGATTTCTAGTACGACGAGAAATAGAATTGGTATGCGATGTCCAGACGCGCCACTTGATATTTATACAATAGTATTATTTTTTCAATCTATCTTTTCTCGAATACGGAGCCTAAACTCCTTGACATACCATTTTCTTCGAAGTTACTGCGATTAGAAATTTTTCGATTGCAATAATTTCTTAGAAGAGAAAGAAAATTGATGATTCTTGTCTGCCTAAATTTTTTCGAGTGCTTAAATATTGATTACAAGAGATTAGAATTTTATTTCAATTTTAAAGGACAGAATAACATCTATGCTCAATAAGTTATTACTAGAAATTTTCGTGACTCATCAAAGTACAGCAAGGAGTTAAATGAAAAAATATTGTCTTTCTCTCGACTTATTTTTTTGCATATAATAATATAATAATATCATATATATATAATAATATATATAATAATATTATATATATATAATAAATAATATAATAATATTATATATATAATAAATAATATAATAATATTATATATATATATAATAAATAATATAATAATATTATTTTGCACTTCATCTCATCATGATGGGGATCGCAGAGCAGTGGCGGAAGAATTCGTGTGCGGTTCGCGAGCCTCAAATTGCCTAGACCTGTCCTTTTAAAAATCGCAATACACAGTTAAGGGGTTGAACATTGTTTGATGTGCAGCGTGGGGGGAGGGGGGCACAAACGAGTTTTGTTTCGTGCAAATAGAGCAGGTATAAAAAGATCGGAGCTGAAAGCCCGAATAGAGGCGATACGAGGCGCGAGTGAACCGATGGCGCCGCTAATCGTATTGTTCGAATTCACGCGTTCCATGGCGCGGCACACGCAAACTCACGATCTCGGCACGACACTATTACGAGTTTCGCGATCGTGACACGCCAGTATGTACTACCGATCCGCTCATTACGTTTCATTTGTCCGGGTCCGTGAACGCCATTTATGCTGGCCAGGCATCATTAACCCTTTTAGCGACGGATGAGCTACCTATCGATCGTCCCAACCGTACTCGTACCAATGCTCCGTGCTCCACACGATAATTCGAACGTACTTGAACGCTGCAGAATCTATAGCATAGATCATCGATCGACCGGAACTTCCTTTGAACGGTTTCGTTGGTGTCGACCACGAAATATTCGGTCGGTTCGCTAAATTTTAGTGATCAGGAACGGGAAACTTAGTCAGCGGTGTAATTCGTTACGACAGCAGGTATCTGCAGTTAACGGCTTGATCGTTTATGTACAGTTCTGATCAGTGTTATTGGATCGCAAACGTATTTTCTTTCATCGCGATGATGGCAGACTATCGGTAGACCGAAACTACTCTTCAGTGTAGTTACTGAAACAAAATTTGACAGTAACGAGTAGCCTTCGGATCTTCGTGCAAAATAAAAACTTTTCAACACGATCGCGAGAAACGGAAATGAAATAAAAATTGATTTCTTCTTGTATTTTGTATTGCATATATCTTACTGAATCCAGCATCGACTAACTACTGTTTATTGCAATTGTTGTAGAATTTTTATTCGTGTAGAAAATTGAATAGTAATCAGCGAACAAAATCAGTCCAGAATGAATTTTTGGAAAAGATCACAAAAAGCGATGATCCATTATGCGTTGATGCAAATTAAATGCAAATCCATTGACTCGCCAATTGCCACGCGGGTTACATATGAGTCACACTAATGCTTGACTAAGTTCAGAAATATTTTAGTAGGAATTTTCAAATGCAAAAGTGTTTAGATAACATTCACTACGATCAATTTTCACTTTCCAGATTTGGTTTCATTTTTGAGGATCTGTTGGGACTGATGATATGCATTCGATATACTAACATTTCCATAGAAATGTAGAGAAGAAACGACATTATTCAATCAATTCGAACATGAAATAAGACCCGATCAAAATCGCTGGAAAAAATCAATTGAGAAATCAACGATTTTATGCATATCGTTGCGCATGTTTCTCGTTAACAATCAGCGGAACCAAGTGCTACGTAAACACGCATTTCGAATAGCGCATAAAACCGACAGAAAGAACAATTACATGTTCGTTCCAACTGTATATCGTTGTTTATTTAAACTCTCTGCTCCAGCAGTGTTTGTTAACGATTTCTGCAATAATCCTTTGAACAAATTTTGACCAGCATTTTGAAAACGGTACCTGGTTCCTTCATTTTTACCGTGCAATTTCAGCACTTTATTTATACAAAATGTTGTATGATAATTTGTACTTTAGAGTTACACAATTGTAACTAATATAGCATAATTTAATATTGTATTGTTAAATTATTTTCTCAGAATTGCAAATACTAGAAAATAACAATATAATATGTAGAATAATAAGAATACAGTAAGTACATAGTAGAGACATTTGAGGTGAACAAAATTATAAGAATAATAATTATAAGAATATTGTACATATATTAATTAACTTATATAGTTGGAACATGTGGTCATATTTCTATATAAATGTGCATGCATACATAAGACACAATATTTGTGTAGTAGTTAGTAGTATCTTATACCTAATGTTTTCTTTAGTTTGTTAGAGTTTATAATTCTATATTATTTTTTAGCAAAAAATCAGTTGTAACCTCAATTGCTCTAATGTTTGGTTCTTGAGAAAATAGTTAAATTTTATATGAAGGATTCAACCTATGCTGTTTTTTTTTTAAATTGTGGAACAATAAAGAAGAACATGCACTGCCATCTAGTGCGAAATACGCAAGCTGCTACCACAGAGTCGGTATGCAACTCGCACTCGATTCTAATTCGTACTAAACTGAAGCATAGAATCATAGCATTCAGATAAATGTTCATAGCATAAATGAAATATAAGAACGAATCTAACGTTTCATGTATTTTCGTCGTTATCAATTCAGTGTTATCCGAAACGGTACCAACAGTGAATTCGGTACCATTTGCTACAGTAAATTGAAATCACGCAGATACCACAGATTTACAGGTTAGTTTCAGCTGGCTAACGAGAATAAAGAATTTTGTAGAATTCACTTTTACTTGATTACGATACTTCATATAATTTCGAGATGTATTCAATTAAATTAAATGTTTGAACGGGTAGAAAATAATAATTATGGAATATAATAGTAGTCCATATGTACATTGCGAAATTGCAAACTCAAAAATGAAATTTAAGTTATTAGATATTTCATATCTGAAAGGTATGATTATATTATATTGCTTACAATCATTTATGTCAATCTGAACGAAATCATCGATCTATTTGTTTGCAGAAAAATGCTATCCTGTTTGAAGTTAGGTTAACACAGAAATTGTTTCCGGCACGTGGAGTACAAGTTTGTATAGGTGAGAAAGTTTATAAACTTACTGCGACTTTATCAACAATAAAATAATAGCAATAAGGAAAAAAAGAATTACTTAGAGATGTCAAAGCGAAAGGTTATCATGTTTTATGCAGAGTCAGGTACTTACAATGCATTCCCGTTTGTTTAAACCGATGTTTCTTCTCTCTTGAAATCACTATACCTGATCAAATATGTCGGCACCACTTATTAGGCTAGTTGAATGTATCTCGAACTTTAAACTGTTGTTAAACACTGGAAACAAACAGCTAAGGTCATATATTGTTGGATAAATGATTTTAAATTAAATATGGCGGATGCGCAGTAATGAGCACGCAATAGAAGATGCGCAATAACAACTACGCAGGCTCTCCGCCATAACGTCGACCAATCAGAATCTCCGTTCGTTCACTTCGAACACTTCGCAATCATTCTTCCTTTGTAACTTGTAGTCATTAAACGTGTTATTGGTCGGTGTATGATAATTTGTACGGTAATTAAAGCAAGTTTTGTGCCAAACGATGTCAGAATCCAGTATACGAGCTGATTAGTGTAAATAGTGAATTTAAAAAATTTTTTTGGAGGTACGTAGGTTATACTTTCACTTTATTGTTCTGTGGCGGGATCCGTTCTGTTATGTTCTTTGAAGTATGCCAGAACGCTATGAAATTAAGAAAATTGTTTCAGAAACGTAAGAGTTTCTCTGGAAACGATCCCGATTATTGTATCCATGGAAAACCATTATACATCACAGTCGATCACGAGTTTTAGTGTGGATTGTTAGTAATTTTTATCTAATTCAGTTTCTCTTAGATCAATGTTTATAATATTAGAATTTATAGTATTTAATTATAGCATCGGTATTTAATTTATAATTATAGTATAGAAATTCTTACAAATTATTTTTGTTTACTAGGTCCGAAAGAAGGAACAGGAATTAAGAATAAATCTACTAGGAGGCAACACACTTAAGAGGCCCGGTTGCCGCACACTATGACGACCCACACATAGAAGTAAAGCCATGTACTTATTTTAATCCATTAAAATTATTAAAAAATATTGTATTTATCTCCTGCTTCATACAATTGATTTGAATTTTTTTTTAAATATCAGGTAGGACATTAACATGCAAGTCAATAGGACTCAGAGATATACTCCAATTGATTATTAAATTTGACCATCAAGTCTGTGTGCCTGTTCAATAAACAGTGATTAGTGGATGGTCAGTCTTTATCTACTTATGGTAAGTTCGGATTTGTAAGATGGAAGCACAGATTTAGGATCCGTGCAGACATTGCATGCAATGATACTCTAAATGATGCCTTTTAATACTCTCTTGTTTGTTTAAAAATCTAATGTTTAAAGAAAAATAGCTAACAGAACTCGGAATACGAAAATCTTTTTCGGCAAATATTTCGAAAAATGATTTCATGAAATTATCTTCGTTGCACATACAGTGCAACGAAGTTTCGAAAGCTCCAGATTTAAACGAGTCGTTTGAATATACGCGTTGTTTGAATTTTTGTCTTCGAAATCATAAAACGTGTGGCATAATACGAACGAGTTATACGGAATACTCGATTCTCACTAAGAAGCATAGATTTCTGAAATATCGTCTGCAACACAGAAATCGACAGACAGGAACTAAATACTAAAATCTATTCTCAGATGTCAAGACGTGTATTAGTTAGCCACCTTGTAGCTTT